TGTCATTGATGAGGTGCATTTCTGCTGTTGTCGATCTTCCTGTGAGACCATAGAAGGGGTTCCATTTGAGTTCCATTGAATTCCATGGACAGGTCCTTTCAGCAGGAACGGGGAATGTTGTGGGTTTCTCAACTTTGCCTCTGGTTGGGGAGAGGACTTTAATGTATACTGGCCCCCTGACTGAGATCAGAGCTGCCTGTACGTCAAATCTGGGGTCTTCATAGGCCATGTCAGCCATGGCTCTGTTGGTAGCACAGTCACCTCCAAGTCGGAAGGTCCTGAGTGCAAGTCCAGGGGTCGTGTGTGGAAGTGTAGGCTGAGGAAGCATTGCCTTGTCAGAGGTATTAGTGTTTTCATGAAGCATTAAAATGAGACTCATTTGCCCTCTCTGGGTGATATTAAAGTCCCAAGGAGAAATCTTTGGGAAGGTGCAGGGGAGTAACCTCTGTAAAATGAACAATAGTTATCCCTTGATCAGCATCACAAGAGAACTAACTTTCTGGTCATGATTCTATTGTATGTTGGAGCTTGCTTTGTGTGAGTGAGTTTCAACACTTCTTACAACAGTGACTACACTTCCAAAAGGCCTTATTCGCTATAAAGTGCTTTGGGATGTCTGGTGAACATGGAAAAAAAACTGATATAAATATTTCATTTCTGAATGGCTGAGAATTCTTTTGTCAAAATTCATCATCTAGAAGTTATTTGACTCAATTCATCATCTATTTAATTATTGTAGAACACATGTAAATGAGACATGAGAGATAAAGGTGACATGATTTAGATCTGCTCCTAAAGGTGCAGTCTGTTTTACACGGATCTGAAAGGGTTAATACTGTGGCATGCCATAAGCATCCAACTACTATAATGATGTCATATGGACTGGACAGAACAGTTTAGAATCTTTAAGGAATGAATTAATGAAAGAGTAAATGCGAGGCGAGGTAAACATTTTTTTCACACAGCGACTGGTTCGGGCGTGGAAAGCATTGCCTGGAGGCAGGTTCAGTTGAGACATTCAAGAGTGTTTTAGTTGGTTATTTGTTTAAAAATAATGTGCAGAGGTAAGTGGAGAAAGCAGGAAATTGGTAGTGATTAATGATGCTCATTTGAGGAGCCAGTGTAGACAAAATGGGCCAAATGGCTTCCTTCTGCAATGAAACACTTCAGTGATTCTGAGTGTGAGACCTAACACCTGCTCCTTCTCAGTAACAACTCAGTAACAATGTCTGTCATGTCATTGTAACCTGTTAACATGTTGACATGCAATTAGCTATATCTTGGTAACTATAACACATTCTTCTAGTTAGACCAGGAGGTAGCATTCCACTATCGCACTAGACCAAGCAGATAGTTTCCGGCATTTAAAGAGGATGGTGTCAGAAATCTTCTTCATGAGCATCAGCTCATACAGTGTAGTGAGTTGGGATGCCCTTTCAATACAAAAGGACCAGTTAGGCAGTGGGATATCCTAAGACTGATCTCTATAGGCATTGATTCCAGTGCTGAAGTCCCATGGCTCTTTTTCTAGCCATCTAAACTTGAAAAGGTAAATTAGGTGTCCAGTACCTGTTGAAGGAAGATCGAAAATCACAAATTCTTCAGTAGCTCCCCATTCCGTGAAAAGTATTAATTTTTATTTGTTTAAATAAACCTATCCTGTGGAGCTGAGAAGGTTAGGAGAAGCTCCGTTTATTCCACAGTTCCTTACCCTTTACTAAGGTTCTTCCCCTTCTGATTCCAACAATTGGATTGATACAAGTAAAGCACAGAGCAGAAAATCACAGAGTGCTTTTCAGCTGTTAACAGCCCATGCATCAAGTAAGGAGGAGGTAGGCAGTCGCTGACAACTGAACAATGCCTCTAGGCAGACCATTCGATGTTGCAGGCAAAACGCACCAATCTTTAGCCAGCTTTGTAAATGAGTAAACCACAATTCTTGATTCCGGAGGGAGGCTGCTTAAAGGTGAAAACCAGGACCCTGTTTACCATTATCAATGAGAAATGGGCGGAGTTTGCACCACTCAGCACGCTATGTCTTTTCGGGATTTGATTAGTCTTTTTTTCTTTATTCATTCGGGCAATGAGGACGTCACTGGCTAGGCAGCATTTATAGCCCATCCCTAATTGGCCAGAGGGCAGCTAACAGTCAACCACATTGCTGTGGGTCTGCAGTCACATGTAGGCCAGACCGGATAAGGATGGAGTTTTCTTCCCCAAAGGATATTAGTGAACCAGATGGGTTTTTCCAACAATCAACAATGGATTCACGGTCATCATTAGATTCTTAATCCCAGATATTTTATTGAATTCAAATTCCACCATCTGCCATGGCAGGATTCGAACCCAGGTCCCCAGAACATTATCTGGGTCTCTGGATTAACAGTCCAGTGATAATACTACTAGGCCATCGCCTCCCCTTCTTAGCAGCCTGACCTGTGGTTCCTGCCGGGTGCTCAAGGAGAGATCCAAAGATTTGTTTGGGAGAAGTGTTGTGCAATCAGGGAAGGAGGAGTGCTCAAAAATACATCAGAAATGAGGCTTGTAGTTGATCCGTGGGCAATCTGCTCTTGGCCCAGCTGTAGGAACCAGACAGGGTTTTTTTTTAACACTCTAATCATAACCCATGCACAATAATGAGAAGGCCTGAATTTCAGCGTGGGCCATTAACACTAGATTAGCAGTCTCAGCAAGGTAGAGCCATAGAGTCATACAGGACAGAAAATAGCCCCTTCAGCCCAACTTATCCATGTTGACCAGGTTTCCTAAACTGACCCTGAAATAGTCCCATTTGTCTGTGTTTGGCCCACATCCCTCTAAACCTTTCCTATCCATGTACCTGTCCAAATGTCTTCTCAATGTCAGAATTGTACCTGGCTCTACTACTTCCTCTGGCCTTTCATTTCATATACAAAATCACCCTCTGTGTGAAAAGGTTGCACCTCAGGTTCCTTTCAAATCTTTCCCCTCTCACCTTGAACCTGTACTCTCTAGTTTTGGATTCCCCTTCACTGGGAAAAAGCCCTTGACTGTTCATCTTAGACAGTGCTCTGGAGATAGGGGTTCAAATCCTACCATGGCAGTCGGCGGACTTTAATTAATTTAGAAATATAATCAATTAGTAATTCTGGAATTGAAAAGTAGTCTCAGTAATGATGACCGTGAAACCAGCACTGATTGTCATAAAAATCAATCTGGTTCACTAACGTCCATAAGAGAAGGAAATCTGACGTCCTTGTCTAGTTTGGCCTACATGTGACTTCAGCAATGTGATTGATTTTTAACCACTCTCTGACATGGCTTAGCAAGCTACTCCAAGGGTGATAATGGATCACCGTAGCAAAATCCTTGCCAGCATTCCACACATCCCACGAAAAAAGATTTAAAATAAAAAACAGACCTTGACCACTGTTCATAGTTGAAGAGGTTATTAGTGCCAATCTTCTAAGGACTTTCAATGGAAGGAAAGATTATCAATTTGAAATGGAAGAGGTGGGGAAGTGACAAATCCAATTATTGGTCAATTGAAGCACATTTCCTGTTAGAATTGAATGACCAATGCCAGTACTATGAATAAATCATCCACTTCGCAGATATTGGAAAGCTTTTGCCTTCTTTGTAACCCAGAAGTAGTAACTTCAGGAAAGGAAACAAGAAAATTGAGGGAAATATGCGTTGTACTCCTTTGATTTGTTCCCCTCCCAACCATTCACGTCCTGACTTGGAAATATATTGCCGTTCCTTCAGTGTCACAGAGTCAAAATCTTAGAACTCCCTCATTAACGGCATTGTGGGTCTACCTGCAGAACCAGGTCTTCAGTGGTTCAAGAGGCAGCACAGTGGCTCCGTGGTTAGCACTGCTGCCTCACAGCCCCGGGACTTGAGTTTGATTCCAGCCTCAGGCCTTCTCATTAGTGTGCATGGGTTAAGATTGTGTGGAGTTTGTACAATCTCCCCGTGTCTGTGTGGATTTCCTGTGGATGCTCTGGTTTCCTTCCATGGTCCAAAGATACGCAGGTTAGATGGATTGGCCATACTAAATTGCCCATAGTGTCCCAGGAGGTGCAGACTAGGTGGATTAGCCATGCAGGGTTACAGGGATAGAGTCGGGGAGTGAGTCTGGGCAGGATGTTATTCGGAGGACTCAGTGTGGACTCAATAGGTCGAATAGCCTGCTTCCATTCTGTAGGGATTCTATGATTCTAAGAAGGCAGGTCATCACTGCTTTCTCAAGGAGGATGAAGGGAAGACAATAAATGGTGGCCAGCTAGCAATGTCCATTTTCCAAAGGTGAATTTAAAAAAAAACAAAAATCCCTTTTTAATAGGATCCAATAAAGAGCAGTTGTGTAGAACCTCATGTCCCAGTGATCTAATGAAAAAACAATTTGGGAACATCATGATTTTTCACAGAAGCAATGTTAACTGAGCGGCCCACTGGATATTGCCAGGCAGGACCTAGACAACTTCATTTTTGTCATCCTTGTTGAGTTCACTGATCCTGGCTTAGGCAGTTTCCAAAGTATTTCATTTTATCCCAGTAGCCTTGAGCAGGATGGGTAGGGAAAGAAAATAAGTGAGATACCACTGTTGACAAACTGATTTCCAAGTTGGCAACAATTACCAGTCTGCTGTTGTGCCCAATAGTGATGCACTTAAGCACAATATGCCGTGTGTTGGAATGTGAAAATGTATGTGTTTGATGTGACTCACTTTGTGGTGGAATTACTTACCAACCCGGTATAAATGGTCACTTCTGGCTAGGTATTGAGGGCCAACTATGTAACTACTCTAATGTCAAGTCAAAACCTTTTTAGAGGAATCAAGATTATCCTGTAATATGTGAAGCTTGCTTGTTCTGGTCATCTATGGCAGATTTCACTACTATCACTATTGTGCGGCTGGCTTGTACAGTGTGTAGCTTGCTTCATAAGTCAGGGTTCTTCACGGGTTGTACTTAAGAATAATATAAAATAATAATACAGTGGCTTTTACTAACAGGAAGGGCCTGGGATTTTCTTGCTGATGTGACAGAAGGCAGTATATTGTGGAATGGCTTCCATGGAATCACCTCCTTTCCAGCCAGAAGGTAAGATATTGCTGACTTTTGTCCCCATCTACTCTGATATACCATTGAGGGTTATAGGGAGAGGTGATGACATGATGCTAGGGTCAATGGATGTGTGATCCAAAAGCCCAGCCTAATCACCTAGGACATGAGTTCAATTCCCATCATGACCTTACTGTGGAGTTCAAAGCTAGTCTGGTGGCTGCTTTGAAACCTAACGGGTAACTGGTCTGTCTTATTTATAACTCCAGACCCACAGCAATGTTCTTGATGCTTAAATGACGAAGCAAGCCAGTTAGTTCGAGGGCAGTTATGGAATGAGTGACAGGTGCTGGCCTTACCAGTGACCAGTGACAGAATAAAGAAGCAAAGATCATTGTTTATGAAACATGAGTATGAATGTGCTGAGGGATAGGTTTCCCCCTTTGCACTACAATACACTGGGGTAGGACAGCATTGTAAAATATTTGCCTGTAGATCTCCAGAGGCAGGATTTATCAACTTAGAGGTGTTTTTGTTTCACACCAGAGGCAAGTGGTGGCAAAAATGAATGGAGTCAGAGTTATTATCTTATTATCAGAGCTACCATTTTAATTGTGTCATAAGTAGACTGTGCTGGCTCATAATCTCTTCTCCAGAATGGATCTATTGGAAATGTGCTCCCCAAGCATGCCCATAAATGTTTCATTTTAAATGTGTAACATAAAGGAAAGAAATTCCACCTAGTAGAGTGGAGTTTGGGAAAATAGTTGACATTGTTTAAGCTACTGCGTCCGTACCAACGTACAGCCTTGTGTAAAATTCCTTCTTCAGGTGGATTGTCATTATTCCTTGATCTTGCTCAGAGTTATAAAAGCCTCATTATAGCCCCAAATTTAAATTTGTTACCCACTGAGAATGACCTGCAGTTTACAATGCATCCTTGATCTATGCTAGGCTTGCACTTATTGACTGTAGGAAATCAAGGACGTGAAGAAAAGGTTATAATAAATCTCTAATTACAAATTAAAATTGAAGACATTTTGATGACAATTAGATTGGAAGCAAAGTTCCCTGTTATCTTCATTGATTTGTTATAGGAGGATGAAGATATCCAAAGGCAGGGGTCAAGCCGTAGGATAGGAGAACTGTTTTGCACATGTCATTAACTGAATATCTATCTGTACAACACCAGGTATAGTTAGCTGACAGTGTTGAAGAACTGTCCACATGGTTAGAGATTCAATAATGTGCAGTAACTGTTCTGCCAGTAACAATAACTCAAGTTATGGCACCAAATCCGTCTAGGTCATCGCAAGTAGTACAATTCAAATTGGAATATACATATGTATCAAACAGGTGCCTACTGCATTATTCAGCAAGACCTGGTGATTCATTACTTTATTCATTGAACATGAGGCATTGCATTGCTCACCAAAGTACATGGTGTCATTGTGGTTAAATTTAATGGTGTTCTTTGAAGAAATAGTTAAGTGCCTTAACATTGGAAATAAAGTGGACTTTCAAACAGCATTGTGTGTGTGTGTGTGTGTGTGTGTGAGTGTGCGCGTATGTAAATGAGTATTCATCTAACTTATCCCAGTATGAGAGTCATTTCCAAAGCTGGTATAACTGCAGTGAGGAAGAGTTTCCAGCTTTTGTGCACCATGCACAATAAGTACACTGTTATGAATTTTGAGTTACACAAGATATTCTCTTGGCTTGACACCATCCAGGGCAAAGCAGCCCACTTGATTGGTATTACATCCACAAGCATCCACTCCCTCCACCACCGACACTCACTAGCAGCAGTGAGTACTATCTACAAGATGCACTGCGGAAATTCACCAAAGATCCTTAGACAGCACCTTCCAAACCCACGACCACTTCCATCTAGGAGGACAAGGGCAGTAGATACATGGGAATACAAATTCATACAATTTACCCTCCAAGCCACTCACTGTCCTGACTTGGAACTATATTGCCGTTCCCTCACTGTTGCTGGGTCAAAATCCTGGAATTCCCTCCCTAAGGGCACTGTGGGTCAACCCAGAGCAGTGGTCTGCAGCGGTTCAAGAAGGCAACTCATCACCACCTTCTCAATGGCAACTAGAGATGGGCAATAAATGCTGGCCAGAAAGACATCTCACAAAAATGTATAAATAAAAAAAACTACCCTAAGTAGACACATGCACTGTATGATCAGAGTTCAAATATTTACTAGTCAAATATCTACTCATACAATGATAGCATGACCTGAGAGAACTAGAACAGATATTCCGTGTTGAGTTTCATTGAATGTAGCCATTGAAACATATTGAGCTGAATTATTCTCTTGGCACAGAGCCGCATTTCACTGTGTAGCGATACGTTGATTTTTTTTTAGGAAATCAGATTTTAGCATATATTTCTGACACCTACCATCTTCTTCTGACATTTTTACGGGTTGGGAATTTTTAATTTGCTGCACACTGTTGAGGTTGGGTCTCCCCATTTTATAAGATTTCCTCATGCACATCATTTTCATCTGATGATGCATATTGTTGGAAGCCCAATAGAAACATGGCAGTTTTGAGAGTTCAGGAAGAAAGTGGAAGCCCTGCTCAGGAGTCAGGAGTGTTCTGAAAACTTGGTGTTTTCAAACCTTCACATGTCACTGTTAACTCCTGTGTTGTAGTGTAAATGTGATTTTTATGCAGTGATTCAAAAGTGAGCTGGCTTTTATGTCGATCTGCATTGTGCAATTGTTCACATGCATTGCAGTAATGGAAAGTACAATAATTGTAAGAAAAAGAATAAAATAAAACCTATCCTATGCGCTTTTTATGCTTAATCAATTGGGCTGGCAGTATTTTGCCTGGCTCCTGAGAACTGTATGTAGAGCTTATTGAGTGAGTGGTTATGGAGGATATGTGAGGGGCAGAGGGGTTGCGTAGGGATTGCATTGATTGTTATGAGGAATGTGAGATAAAATGGAGCGTGGGTGAGGGATTGAGGTAAAGAGGGTCTTTAAATGATAGAGTTGGGCTGCTGTTTTGGTGAACCAGGGAGGACTTTCTAATGAGTACACCTCCACATCCACACTTTTCATTCCTGCATACAAAAGGCATTACAAACCTCATCTTCATGTGAAAACATGAAAATCACTCTTAAAGTGAGACATGGAGTGCATTTTGCAAGCTGTAGAAGTGTCCAAGGTTGGGTTTTTCAAAGTCCAGATGAAAATTCTATCCATTGTGTTCAAATATTCAAATATCAAGCACATTCTTCCTCATTTTGATTCTGGCAGATACAGATGAGAAGTTTGTGCCACGTCTACTGCACAGCTCTCAATGACAGAGAGCAATCTCGAAGTATCAAACAGGATAGTTCTTCCTATTGTCCAAGACCATTTCTATGACTATTAACCTTTGATAAGTCTTTGCAACAGTTTCAAGTTGTGGATTTTCCCTGTTATTGAAGTTGCAACACTTCTTTTCACTTCTGGCTCTATAACCTGCTCTGAGGCTACGGCAGACTTTTAAAGTGCCTGCAGCGATGCAGCCAAATTCTGGCCATGCGTCGATGAGCTTGTGGATCTTGCCTGCTCTCCAAAAAGAATGTGCTTGGGAAACAGGAAGAGTTTGACAGAGGTTGACTGCACGCCCTTCCTGCCCAACTGTGCTTGCCAATGGAATGATTGTCCATAATGCCACACTTGTAGATCAGGGTTTGCAGCTTCATCCTGCAGAAATATAGAAAGAACTTCCCTGCATATAGCAACTTCCAGCCAACCCAGGACATCCCAAAATCCTCCCCAATCAAGGAAATAATTTGTGATGTGTTCACAGCTGTAATGTAGAAAGTGTGGCAGACAATTTACCGACCATGAACAGCAAAGTGTTTCAGAAAGTGTATAAAGTGTTTCAATGATAAATAATGATGAAAAAACCCTACTGCAATTCTGTGATGTAGCACCATTAGATGTTTAATGTTTACCTGGGAGGGTAGATGGTACCTTGGTTTAATGTAATATACAAAAGAGACACCTCTGACAGTGCGGCACTGCATTAGCATTGCATTGAGGTGTTTACTCAGCTTTGCTGCTCTAGTCTCTGGAGTCAGACCAGATCTTAAAAATCTTCTGACTCTGACAAAAGAACAACAACTGAGCCAAGACTGACCCCATAGTAATCTTCTGAAGGGGAAAGATTTCACCACGTTGCAGACTGAGTGCTCAGAAGACTGCTATTGCATATGTCTGCTTGGCTCAGAAACATTGGTATCAATGGCAGACTGAGTGATATTTGGAAAGGAAAGAGCAAATCTGGATTTTACATCGGTCACTTATATTCCAAGTACTTTGATGTGTTTTGCAGCTCTTGTTATAACATCATTGCCACCACATCAGGAGTCCAGACTTATCCCTGCAAGGAGACAACATTAGATCTTTGGTAACTGCTGCCAACTAGCGGGCACTCCAAACCCAATCCACAATGTACGATATTTCTAATAGTAATATCTATGTAACTCTTAATTACATGCCTTAAATTTTGAATCAATAACATCTTTTTTTTGAAATGCCATGGCTTATCCTATTACCAAATACAATGAATTGCCGGCAATTTCAAAGTATGTATAAAAGATTACAATGAAAAAAATACACAGTTGATTAAAGATAGTCGTTTTAAAATCTTATGAGCATCCTACTGATTTATCCTGTCTATACAGTGTGGAGCTGGAGGAGCACAGCAGGTCAAGCAGCATCAGAGGATCAGGAAAGTTGACGTTTTGGGCCTGGACCCTTCGTCAAGTCCTGCTCCTCTGATGCTGCCTGACCTACTGTGTTCTTCAACACTGTACTGACTCTGACTCCAACATCTGCAGTTCTTGCTATCTCCTACTGATTTACCCTGAGCATTCTGATGGGAAACTACTGGAATTACCTTGAAGTTCCACACCAGTTTCTATCAGTGTGGCACAAGCAATAAGTGAGTTTACTTTCAGCTCGACCCTTTTCTTCTGAAGGTGCCTCTTTACACTTAGTTTTGCATTCGCAGACA